TCCTTCTTCCCTCGCCAATCCTAGCACGCCCCCCCGCCCCGCGCGCTCTCAGGCTGTTGCTTGCCCTGCTCAGCGCGTGCTGCCAGCAGGGCGCCAGGCTCCCTGAGCGGGCTGGGGTCGCCCACCTGCGCACGGGCCGCCCAGGTGTAGCTGCTGTGCCCTGCTCTAGACTGATGGGGGGCGCAGGCGGGGGCCGTGGCCAGCCTGCCAGATGCGCTACGAATCGAATGGACGGGCCCGGCCCAGCAGATGGGTGACACCACGCGTCAAACCACACTTCAAGGCTTTAGACGCTGTCCCACTCGACTGTATCATGAGCAAACTCGGGAGACTAGAGGGAGTCACTGTTGGGCGTGCAGAACTGTACTGAGTGGTTTACTTGCAGAATGGGTGGCTGCATCTACTGGCGTGCCTCGGGGGGCTGTCCTGGCTGGCTGCATCTACTGGGGTGCCTCGGGGGGCTGTCCTGGCTGGCTGCATCTACTGGGGTGCCTCGGGGGGCTGTCCTGGCTGGCTGCATCTACTGGGGTACCTCGGGGGGGGGCTGTCCTGGCTGGCTGCATCTACTGGGGTGCCTCGGGGGCTGTCCTGGCTGGCTGCATCTACTGGGGTACCTCGGGGGGGGGGCTGTCCTGGCTGGCTGCATCTACTGGGGTGCCTCGGGGGGCTGTCCTGGCTGGCTGCATCTACTGGGGTACCTCGGGGGGGGCTGTCCTGGCTGGCTGCATCTACTGGGGTGCCTCGGGGGGCTGTCCTGGCTGGCTGCATCTACTGGGGTGCCTCGGGGGGCTGTCCTGGCTGGGGCTGATACTGTTTGGTGGTTTCTTTAGCGACTTGGATGATGGCATGAAGAGCATGCTTATAAAAGTTGTGGATGACACCAAGCTGGGAGGAGGAGTGTGGAGGACACTGTTAGAATTCCGAATGATCTTGATAAATTGGAGAATTGGTCTGAAATCAATATGATGAAATTCAGTAAAGGCAAGTTTAAAGTGCTACAAAACAAAACGAATGCACAGCTACAAAATGGGGAATAGCTACCAGCCACCAGTACTGCAGAAAAGGATCTGGGGATTATAGTGAATCACAAACTAAGCACTAGTCTACACTACAAATTTATGTCAGTAAAACTACATTGCTTAGGGGTGTGGAAAATCCATACCCCTGAGCAACACATAAATAGGGTTGCCAACCCTCCTGGAATAGGGCTCCATCTCCTGAAGGCTACTGAAGCCAATCCGGAAGATTTTAGGCTGCTAAAAGTCTGGAGGCACTGTGGGGCTAAGGCAGGCTCCCTACCTGCCCTGGTTCCACGTTGCTCCCAGAAGCGGCCAGCATATCCAGCAGCGGCGCACCCAGGGGGGGTCTCTGTCCAGAGCGTCGACTCCACAGCTCCCATTGGCCAGTAATGGGAACAGCCAATGGGAACTGTAGGGGCGGTGCCTGCAGCCAGGGGTCTGGCTGCCCCTGGGCATAGAAGCTGCTGCTGGACATGCTGCTGTTTCCAGGAGCCACCCGAAGTAATCGCCGCTTGACCAGAGCCTGCACCCCAAATCCCCTCCCGCACCCCAAACCCCTGCCCCAGCCCCCTCCCTCACCCAAACTCCCTCCCAGAGCCCTCTCCTGCACCCCAACCACCTACCCCAGCCCTGAGCCCCTCCTGCACCCAAACTTCCTCCCAGAACCCGAACACCATCCCGCACCCCAACCACCTGCCCCAGCCCTGAGCCCCCTCTCGCATTCCCTCCTGCACCCAACTTCCTGCCCCAGGCTCAGCCTGGAGCCCCCTCCCTCACTCCAAACCCCTTGGCCTCAGCCCAGAGCCCACACCCCTGCCCCAGCGCAGTAAAAGTGAGTGAGGGTGGGGGAGAGCAAGCGATGGAGGGAGGGGGGCTGTAGTGAGCAGGAGGCAGGGCCTCGAAGGGGCAGGGGGTGGGGCAAGAGTGTTTGGGTTTGTGCGATTAGACAGTTGGCAACCCTACACATAACACCCACCTAACTCCTGGTGTAGATAGCGCTGTGTCGACGGGAGGGCTTCTCCCGTCATCGTAGTTACTGACTCTCGGGGAGGTGGAGAGCCTACACCGATGGGAGGAGGTCTCCTGTCAGTATAGATAACATCTTCACTAAGTGCTACAGCAGCGCAGCTGCAGTGCGGTAAGGATAGACAAGTCCTGAGTTTGAGACAACCGTATGATGCTGTTGCAAATGAGGCTAATTTCATTCTGGGGTGTATTAATAGAAGTATCATTTAGTAAGACACTGGAGGTAATTGTCCCGCCATTACCAGGCAGTGATGAGGCCTCAAATGGACTCCTGTGACCTGTTTTGAGCACCAGACTTTTAGAAAGGTAACACTGGAGAGAGTCCAGAGCAACAGAAATGATATGAGGTTTAGAAAACATGATCTATGAGAAAAGGTTGAAAGAATTGAGTATTCTTAGTCTAGATAAGAGAAGGCTGAAGGGGGATGTCATAACATACATATGTAAAAGGTTGTTTTAAAGAAAACAGTGATCAATTGTTCTCCATGTTTGCCAAGGGTTGGACAAAAAGTAATTGGCGTAGTTTGCAGCAAGGGAGATTCAGGTAGATATTAGGAAAAACTTAAGCAGTGGAACAAGTTACCTGGGTAGGTTTTAAGAACGGGTCAGACGGACACCTGACAGAGTTGGTCTAGGTGGACTCAATCCTGCCTCAGCCTGGGTGATGGATGAAATTATCGTTTGAGGTCCCATCCAACCCTGTATTTCTATAATTCTAGAACCCTCAAAAAGAAATCTAATTAATCTCAATCATATTAACCCAGTAGTTTGAGGTCAACATTTCTGCCCTGACCCTGCCTCCTAATATTTGTTATTGCACAATCACATTTCCCTGATTTTAAAAACATGTTCCCCCGTTGCTGTTTGAAAAACCCTTACAAGTAGCAAGGGAATCTGTATAAAGGCCCTGATCCTGCAATATATGCCAGCAGTATCACACTGAAGTCCCTTTGAACTGTGAAATTCTAGAGACATCTACGATCTTGGGTTTTTTCAGCTACAGCTAATGTCAACAGCTGTTGTACAATATTTTGTCTATTCCTGCTTTAAACTTGAATAAGCTTTGGGCTGCATTTGTATGATTAAAGAAAAAAATTATATCAGAGCCTCTGATAAATGTGTCTGACACAGCCCACAACCTTCATTGCCAGAACTTTTGCCAATATTTTGATATCACTGTTAATAAGTGATATTGGCCTGTCATTGGAGCACAGGTATATCTTCTTGGTTTAGTAATAACCGATAATAGAGCTTCCCTTGTGTGTAGGGAAAGGTGGTCTCCAGAAGTGACTCATTAAACAGTTCAAGCATCTTGACAGTGGGAGTTCAAAGAAGCGTCTATAGAACTTGGCAGAGAAGCCATCCAGCTGGGGGCTTTCCCTACTTTCATTTTCTTAATTTCCTCAATTAACTTGACTTCCATTAGGGGAGCATTAAGTCTTCCACATTGGTCAGGTGTAATTTGTGGTAATGTAAATTTTTTGAAAAACAGATCCAAAGCATGTATGGAAAGGTTTGTTTCCAATTTGTACAGATCATTATAAACATTAAAGAACTCTTTATGAATATCTTTAGGTGTATGTAAGCATATTTTGGCCCTTTCCCTCCCTCTGCTCTTTTTAAATGCTTCAGCTGATTTTGCAATCTTTCCCTAGTATTTGGAATGATTGAGAAATACAGAAGTGAGTGATAAATTAGCAGAGTTAACTATGTTATTTTAGTTCCTCATATTTTAAATGTTTATCAATTGAGTGATAGCTGGCACTAACAAGAATACTGATGCGGTAGCAGTAATTCTGTGTATTAACTCACTGGTTATCTATCTAACTCATTTTATAAGTAAAAGTACTTTTATTGCATATTGATTTCATGATACTGCTGGACAAAATAATGGAAGGATTTGGGAGTTTAATTTCTTCTTATTATTTTCTATAGCATCTATGCAATGAATTACAGCAATTCCTTCACTAAATTCTGGTCAACCAAGTAAATAATCTGCATTTTGAAATGCCTTTAGATTAATGTTTTCACCAGAGATTACTACAACACATAAAGTCATTTAATATTAATATAACATTACTTCATTTAAATTACAATATTTTTGGAGGCAAACTGTAAAAAAAACCTCACTAAATCAAAGTTAAGCCTAATATTCTGTCCTTAATCTGCAATGCAGGGTGTGACAGAAATAAATTAAGGACTCATGTTTTGTGCTCTCCAACATTTGCACTAGCAGAGGGAATTAAAACCCGAGAGAATGAGGACATGAAAGAGGAGGAATGCCAATTCTACAGTATGCTCCCTAATTCCCTACAGCCCCACAAAATTCCTTCTGTGTGGGGTTTGGGTATGGGAAGAAAGGAAGTGGAGCTGGGGAGCAGACACTTTCCTCAGTATGTTTCCCTCCAAACTCTTGCAGAAATCTATGATGGAGTAAATGCTGCGTCCACATTCAAGGTTTCTACTGCAAACTGTATAGGGAAGGTTTCAGAGTAACAGCCGTGTTAGTCTGTATTCGCAAAAAGAAAAGGAGTACTTGTGGCACCTTAGAGACTAACCAATTTATTTGAGCATGAGCTTTCGTGAGCTACAGCTCACTTCATCGGATGCGTACCGTGCATCCGATGAAGTGAGCTGTAGCTCACGAAAGCTCATGCTCAAATAGATTGGTTAGTCTCTGAGGTGCCACAAGTACTCCTTTTCTTTTTGTATAGGGAAGGTAACTCCTGGACACATGGCTGCTGAAGAAGCATCAGAGGAACAGTACAATAGTGCTTCTGGGATGCATGGGGGTGGAAGTAATGTTTCTCAGGGTTCCCTGGGCTCTGAAGGCTCCTGCATTCTCTGCAGCCTCCTAACCCACAACTTTAAAGGAATCATGAGAAGAAAACACCAAAAGGCCTCTCATACCCTTTAGGTTTTTTGAGGAGTGGAGGGGGAAATAATTTTAAATGTATTTAACATCCATGAGGAGTACCTAATTACACCCCAGGACAGTGAAGTTCTCTGTGTCAGAATGGGCAGCAGTGTTGCAAGCCTTAGACCTTGACTTGGATCTCTCTTAGTGAGGGTAAGTCTCCATCCCCTTCGTGCAATGGTCATTGCTGAGACTGCCAACAAGAGTGCAAGCTGCGATGGAAATTTTTGGGACCTAGACACTTGTCCTTTAAGAACTGTTCTGATTCCAATTCATTTCACATAGGCAACCAAACAGTCACTAGTGGTAATGATCTAGGCTGGATTCAAATAGGTGATCTAGAGATGAAAGGATCCATATCCCATTGCTAGTTATCTAGTCTACCACATTTCAGCTGTAATCATTAGGTTTATATATTAGAATTCCTGGGGCTTGAGCATTTCCTCATGCACAATAAAACATGCAAGTGCTGGAATTTACATCACAAATTGCTCAGAAAAACAAAAGCTCCAACTTTTAGACTTTTAGTAATACAAAGTAACCCTTGTGTACAGGAGGCAGTTGTCAGGGCCAAGTGACCAGAGGGTTCCAAAAGTAGTCCGAATTGCAGCACTTCCTTGAAATACAGGGAGGAATCAGTCAACACACAGCTCCCCAGAGTGCTGCTGTTCCAGCCTAGGATGCTAGAGCAAATAGCTGTCTGGGGTTCAGTGATCACTCAGGCTATGTTTATGTGCAATCATAGGGTATGACTGTAGCTCAAGTAGGCATACCCTGGCCTATAATTTCCCAGGTTCTCTTTGTACCTCTTTTTAAAGCTAGGTACTATGTTTGCCCTACTCCAGACCTCTGGGACCTCACCCATCTCCATGAGTTCTCAAAGATCACTAATGGTTCTGAGATTGTTTCAGCTAGCTCCTTAAGTACCCTAGAGTGAATTTTGTCAGGCCCTGCTGATTTGAATACATCTGACTTATCTAAATACTCTTTAACCTGTTATCTGATGATCAAGCCTGTCTTTTTGTCTGACTACCAAGGTGTTATTTAAATAAAGAGAGTATAAGTGTGTGTGTGTATAATTCTGTTATTTGCAGTTTTTTTGGAATTGGGGTAACTTGTGCTAGAGGATAGCCTTTCTCTGGTTTTGTTTTCATTCTAGTGTTCCTAGGAACTGACACTCCCATAATAAACCACACAGTATACACAGACCTTTCACTTGCCAAGCGGTTGAGCAACATGCACTGAGCATAATCTTGAAATATTAAATTACAGTACTCAGTACATCCTGGTGTTCCTGCTTTTTGTCTGTTTTGCTCCAGGATAACTCAAAGGAGGAACATATGTAAACAGCTAACAACTAGTGTAGAAGCAATGGAAGCAGCCTGAGCATTTCAATGGTATTCTTTGGCAAAAGTCAGCAGTGGAACCAATGATTGTGAGTTAGGGCATGGAAAAGTAAACTCCTAATGGGATCCTCTTTTTAATCATTTACTTTAAAGACTTTACTTTTGTTATCTTGTATTACAGTTACGGTAAAAAACGTTAGATTGAGGCAGGATCCTTACTGAAGAGTTCAAAATTATCTGTAAATCTGGAGGTTCTTGCACTTTATTTCTAAACAACCTTTTTAAATATTTTACTAATGGTTAAAAATTAATCACAGACAAATACCTAAGCCTAAAAAGAATCAGACACAGAGAAGTTCTTCTAGCTAGACAGAGAAAAAGTCTTCATCATGAAAGTATTACTAGTTCTCTTGGTTTTTTCATGCTCCTTCTTTTGTATTTGTGGATTTCAGGTAAGAATTTATTTTAAATAAGGTGATTCCTCTGTAAGTTTTTCTTCAATAATAACTGGTGAAAATATCTTATTTTTAAATGTTTTCCTGTAATGGTACTGATGCAATTATTTTAATCTAAACTTGAATACTTGAAATGTGACATGCATTTTTATTTAATGTAATTACTGTAATTGGGAATGTATGTCAGAAGGCTTCTGAAAAAGGGGGTTTAGAGAAAAATTACTGCAATTATAGTCCCAGGCCCCGTCCTGCAAGGAGTTCTGAAGGGGCCCAAGGGTCTGCCTACCCTGATTCAGTTGCAGAATTGGGATCCTAGAGAATCAAATCCTGCAGTCCATTTATACTCAGGCAAAATTTACAGTGGAGTAATGGGAGTTATGCCAGAATAAGGACTGCAGGATCTGGCTCTTAGTTTGGGCTGTACATTTAGAGGCATAATTAGTTTAACTGAATTAATTACTGGCCTCAGAATAGCAGGAAGTATGTAATACGATTACAAAACAGGGTAAAGTTTTTGGATGAAATCCTGACCCCTCTGAAGTCAACAACAAAACACTCATCAGCTTCAATGGGGCCAGGATTTCACTCTTAGTACTAAAAAGAAAAGGAGTACTTGTGGCACCTTAGAGACTAACAAATTTATTTGAGCATAAGCTTTCATGAGCTGCTTTAGACTTGAGTTGTATTGATTTAATGGACACATTCAAGGTTGATAGTCCCTTTGGTTTATCTTTTTTTCTATATGCAAATTCCATGCATGCAACTTTTATGCTTCAACGTTCTTTTTTCTTAAATAATAAGCCAATAAAAGCACTTTGTTTGCGATGACATCAGGGGGTTTGCATTTTCAAGTTTCCAAGGGGGTGTTATAAATAATTGTCACTTCAGTTGACCTAAACCAAATCAACAAGTTAAGTGTAGATTCATGTTTCTTTCTTTATTGTTTGGTTACCTGTGGCTCTTTAAAAATATTTGCAAGTTACTTTTAAAATTAAACAAGATTAGGCCAGTAAAAACATCTGTTTCCAAGCATCCAGCTGCAGACTTTTTAATTACAATTTACTGTAAATCCCACTGCCTACAACACCAGTATTTGAGTTTGTTTAAAAATTCTATAATCTGTTGTGCTGAAAAGTCAAGGACTGTTTGAAGAAAATCAGAGAGCGCAGAGCTCATCCTGCATGAAACATCCAAAAAGAAAGAGAAGAGGGATAATCAAACCCTAGAAAAATAAGAAATAAGAAAGGTGGAGTGACCAAGGATACTACTGCAAAAACCTGAAGTGAAACACTTCATTGTTGCACACAGAAGACAGTAAAAATACAAGGAATAAGCTAGTGATGGGACTGATCTAACGCCCAATTGGAATCAATGAAGGGACTTCCCAATGTTTTCAGTTGGCATTGGACTGGGCCCTATATATCGGCTGATTTGCTACTTAATCTTATTTGATTTTTTATTTCCTGTCTTGCAGCACAGAGCCTCTGAAGGTGAAGAGCAAGTTCAGCAAGAGACGTTCCTGATAAAAGAATGCTTAAATAATCAGTACACACATAACTCTTGTAAGAAAGTTTTCTGTCACCCATGGCAGAGATGTGTTGGAGGAAGTTGTATTTGCAAGCTTCCCTACCAATGCCCAAAGAATACCACTTCGGTTTGTTCTACCAATGGAAGGACATTCAAAAATTATTGTCAGCTAAAGACCTATGAATGCCAGCACCCGCAAGAGAAGTTTCTGAGTAAAGCAAAGTGTGGGCCTTCAGGTATTGAAATATCCTTTTCCAAAACTGTATCAGTCACTGTTAGGTGGATGGTGAATGCTCAACTCTTTATTCTCAGAGAGCCTGGTCATTTATTTGTAAATGTTTAATTGTAAAATGTGAAGCGGCAAAAGAAAAGTAATTGAAATGAGGCAGTATTTATTGATACTCATAAAAAAATCAAATAATTGACAGACCTACCTACCTACATGCACTTCTGTTCCTGGCAGCCCAGTCCTGCTTCTACTGTAGACAATTGGAGCTTTATTATTAATTTAGTGGGAGCAGGATCTGGCCCTTGGCCCAAAGTGTCAGGGCTGTGTTATCAGAAGTCCCATAATTTTGGTATTTCATAGATAATAATAAGAGCCAGCATTTTTATGGAAAGTTTTCTCCATAGATCTCAAAGCACTTTACAAAGGTGGGAAACTTTATCCCCATTTTACTGAAAGGAGAAACTGCGATATATTGAGATGAAGTGACTGGCCCAAGATCACAAAGTCAGTCAGCAGAAGAGTAAGAAATAGTACCCAGGCCCTTGATTCCCAATCTAGTGCCCTATCCACTGATGCATTTCCCGTCCATATGAATGTTACTTATCTACAAGTTCTAAAATAATGACGTATTTGTTGCTGTGGTTGTCTACATCTGATACACTCTTGCAATTTTTTTTTAGAAAAATTTGAAGTTTCTTTGGACTATGCAGATTCACAATCAGAGGGTCTTATTCAAGTAAAGCATGGGAATCATACTGAGAAGTTATTTATATGTAACAGTGAGTGGAGTATGAATGAAGCAAATGTTGTCTGCAGACATCTTGGTTTTAAAATGTAAGTTTTTTTGTGTGTGGGGGTGTTCATTTAGATAATCACAATGTTTATGAAAATGCACTCCTGCTTACTTGTGGCCCACCTGTGGACAATTATGTGATTGGGCAGCCATGGAGAGTGTATCTACTGTAATCTTCTCATAAAGACTATGTAATTCGTCATTTGAGAGTAAAAGCCAAGAGATTTCTATCCTGATAATCTAGTATATTATCAGTAATTGTTACACACTTTATATTCAAATCATAAGCATTTTTATTTAAAATACCATTAACTGCAGGCGAGATTGGGAATTTTCTCTCAGCCCTATGTTAGGGACAATTTGCAGATCTGCCACCCCAGAAAGAGCCCTGGGAAATAATTGTAACTCAGAGAGGAAATAATTTACTGTAGCCCTTTACAGGACACAGCTTACTTCTCCCATACCTGCCAGCTATCATAGAATCATAGAATATCAGGGTTGGAAGGGACCTCAGGAGGTCATCTAGTCCAACCCCCTGCGCAAAGCAGGACCAATCCCCAACTAAATCATCCCAGCCTAGGCTTTGTCAAGTCTGACCTTAAAAACTTCTAAGGAAGGAGATTCCACCACCTCCCTAGGTAACGCATTCCAGTGTTTCACCACCCTCCTAGTGAAAAAGTTTTCCCTAATATCCAACCTAAACCTCCCCCACTGCAACTTGAGACCATTATTCCTTGTTCTGTCATCTGCTACCACTGAGAACAGTCTAGAGCCATCCTCTTTGGAACCCCCTTTCAGGTAGTTGAAAGCAGCTATCAAATCCCCCCTCATTCTTCTCTTCCACAGACTAAACAATCCCAGTTCACTCAGCCTCTCCTCATAAGTCATGTGTTCCAGTCCCCTCACCATTTTTGTTGCCCTCCGCTGGACATTTTCCAATTTTTCCAGATCCTTCTTGTAGTGTGGGGCCCAAAACTGGACACAGTACTCCCAGATGAGGCCTCACCAATGTAGAATAGAGGGGAACGATCACGTCCCTCGATTTGCTGGCAGTGCCCCCTACTTATACATCCCAAAATGCCATTGGCCTTCTTGGCAACAAGGGCACACTGCTGACTCATATCCAGCTTCTCATCCACTGTCACCCCTAGGTCCTTTTCCGCAGAACTGCTGCCTAGCCATTCGGGCCCTAGTCTGTAGCGGTGCATTGGGTTCTTCTGTCCTAAGTGCAGGACTCTGCACTTGTCCTTGTTGAACCTCATCAGATTTCTTTTGGCCCAATCCTCTAATTTGTCTAGGTCCCTCTGTATCCTATCCCTACCCTCCAGCGTATCTACCTCTCCTCCCAGTTTAGTGTCATCTGCAAACTTGCTGAGGATGCAATCCACACCATCCTCCAGATCATTTATGAAGATATTGAACAAAACTGGCCCCAGGACTGACCCTTGGGGCACTCAAATCAGATGACTAGGGTAGTCTAATTTGGAACAAGAACAAAGTTGCAGGATGTTTTTAAAGACATATTTGTTGTTGCAGTTCTGATGGTCAGGAAGATTAGACAATTTGGAGGAACTCTGGCAGTTACTAAGGTTTACAACTTATTCTTATTAAGGGCGTGATCCAGCAATGTCCTCAGCACCATAAACCTGTAATGATTTTAATGGTAATTGAGGGTGCTTAGCATCATGCAGGATGGTCCTAAAATTCTGCATCATTAGAACCCACCCACAAATAAAGGTCTGATCCTACACGTTGTTCCACATGAGCAGACCCCTGTGGCCTTGCAGAGACCCGGATATTTAGGTGCCTAACTTCCACTAGACATGTAAATATTCTTCAGGATCTGGCCCTACTGACTTTGATGGAGCTGCACACAGGCACACTGTGAGGAAAAATTTGCAGGATGAGGGCCTCATTTTGTTTCCAAAAAACTCATGCAGTGTGACCTAGTACCTTTTTGTGTTGTCAGGAGTTGATGTGTGTTAATTTTTCCCAGCTATGTCGTAAACACCTTTACCTTCATGGTACAGGAGGAAAATCAAGTCACTGCTACACAGTAACTGATATGGATTATTCTCTGTGCAAGGATAATATATTTTGATTTTTTTATTTGCATCTTCATAGAGGAGCTGAATATCACAAAAAGACCTTCCACGTCCCAGAATCTGCCTTAACTTCATCTCAATGTCTTCATGCTACTTGCAGAGGGCTAGAGACTAGCCTGGCAGAATGTTCTTTAATCGAGAGCCGAAATAGTAATGAGGATTTTGCTAGTGTCGTGTGCCATAAAGAAGATAAAGGTTGGTAAAATATGTGTCTTTTTTTAAACACTCTACTTAGGGTTCTTCAGTTTAATCACTGCATCCAATTATGAAGTTGCATTATAGCCTATCAAGTATGGTACCACCACAGGCACCGCCCCTTCTAACTGTAGTCACATTTTATAGTCTTTAAAATAATTTTCAGCCTTTAGTTAGTTCAACAAGGAAAATAATTCATCTTCTTTCACAAAATATTCTGAGTAAAATTTCACAAAAGAAAACATAGCAAAATGTTGGGCCTGCAACTCCCTTCCCCCTCCAAGCCTAACGAAGGCCCTGAAGCTGAAGAAATGTTTCTTAAAATCCTTCTCTTGGGGAAACTTGTGCCATCTCTAGTAAGTTCTGTTTTTCCCTGATCAGCTGGAGGGGTGGCCAGTGGCATCCTTTTAGCCATCGCTCTGTACAGGATGACTGTGTCATGCAATTCAGAACATTGAAGAATCCAATAGCCTGGTACCAGCCAAGAGCCTGATTGTGTGAATTGCTAGTGCTTCTGCCAAGTGCTCAGCACCTTGCAGCATTGGTCCCAATTTAATTTCTGCACTGGTGTAAACTAAACCAGGTGTTTGCTTAAAACATTTCATAGTTTTGTATTCTGTGTGATGAAATTGACAATAATTGGGCTTTCTTTGGCTGCTCTAGTATCATCAGTGGGAGATGCAGCTGGTCAAAAGAGAGATACAGATAGAGGTTCTCTGTCTTTGACCCAATGGCAAAAGCAAGAGTGTAGAGGCACCTAAAATATGATGAATATCCTTCCAGAAGAAGAGTGTACACCACATTACTCACGTGCACCACCTAGCAGTGGGTCTGAAATGGCATCTCCATCTTAGTCCTTAACAAAGAGAAATGCAGATCCCCTTTGCCAAGTTGCTGGAAGTTGGATGGGGAAAAGAAAAGGCCATGTTGAGGGTCTGATGCAAAGTCCATTGAAATAAATGAAAAGATTCCTGGGCTTTGGATCAGGCCTTAAGAAGGCTGTGACCCAAGTGTTGCAAAAATAAAATAAACAAAATTTTTCCTTGTATGTTTCTGATGATGTAGAAAGTTAAATAAGAACTTTATTTTTCTTCCTGCTTTGCAGAATGTTCAAACGAATTCCCTTGTGTCAATGGGAAATGCATTCCTTTGACTGAAACCTGTAATGGAATCAATGACTGCGGAGACCTAAGTGATGAATTGTGTTGTAAAGGTAATAGTAATTCTCCCTTCTAAACTGTCTCATAGTTATGGACAGTAATACAATAGAAAACTTTCAAACAATCCTTAAAGTTATAAGGCATTATCAGTCCATTTCAATTCCGTTGAGGAAAAGGTCTTTCAACTTTCTAAGGTGACAATACTACAGCTTCCTTATAGTTATGCAAGAAATGTTAGGCACCAGTTAACTTCTTGAATCATGTGGATGATCTGTCAGTATTAGGACAAAGAGAATAAAGATTTTTAGGAAGCAGGCAAACTTTAATATAAAGGTTTACTATTTAATATAAAGAGTCACAGACCAAGGAAAAAGTGTGGCTAGTTGGACTGAAAATGGATTATTAGAGATGGACAAATAATAAATAATTCAACAAGTTTACACCTTTTTTCTGTGAGCAAATTGTCCGTAAAGCCAATTAATATTTTTTTAAAGTTATTACTTATAAAAAATTACTCACAGAATAATATCTTTGCCTGGAGCTTGTTCCTGAGCAGTCACTATGGTCAAATATTTAAAATTCCATCTGTTTTGACTGGAAACAAAGACAGGCCATGTGATCTGACTGAATGAACATACTTTTAGAAATTGGATTTCAGATGCCAGAACTCATGATTACAAGTTCAATATTATCTTTCCCCAAATAATGTTGATTTTGTTGTTTTGGTGATTGTTCCTGCCAGTAAATTCATTTGCATGAATATTCCCGGAAAGTGAACAAAAAAGAGGTTCAAACACAGTCAAAAGGTAATTTTTTAATAAAAATCTAACATATATACATGGATTTTTTAAAGTATTTGCCAGTCTTAGTTATTACTTTTTACTTTTATCATTGCACCCAAAGTGTGCTTACTAATAGTAAGACGTGTGAAGGTAAGGTCCCTGTCCTGACATTCTTGCAATGTACATAACATTTGTGAGGAAAGTGTAGATAAAAATTAGATTTTTCGGAGTGTCAAACAAAATCTCACCTTTTCACATGGTATTTAAATTATATTCACAATACTGAAATCAAGGTTCTAAATTTCAAAGATGATGCTAAACTATGGGAACCTGAGGAACAGACCTCCTGACCCCAAAGCTTGTGCATGAAAGGATTTACTCCAAGAAGTGCTTGTTCATGTGACTAGTGCTGTTTTTCATCAGTCTGGCCCTGATCCAAAGCCTACTGATATCAAATGCACTCTTCCCCAGGCCTTATACTGGCATTAAGGAGCCATCAACTTTTCCATTAAATAAAAAATCCCTGAATATAGATTTACATGGGAGAATATAAAGTAAGTCAAGAAAACCTGGCAAACCATTGGCTTTGCCCTTCAAAATGTATCACATTTTTGTGCTAATAGAGCAGAAAGTCAGTTACCTGAATTTATAGGAATGTATCACCCAATAGAGGAGTGCCTGACTGTAATTAAGGGCCATGGTCAACATTTTCACAGTACAAGCCTAAAGTTCAGTTCCTAATCCTATATTTAGGCACTTCCCAGTAGGATTTTCAAAAGCATTGCAGTCAATAGAACTTGTGCTCCTAAATCATATAGGTGCCTAAATATGGGTTTAGAATGCTAACTTTTAGGCTCCTACTTTTGAAAATGTTGGCCCTAGTCTTGGGAAATGTAGAGCACCCTAAATTCCCATTGAAATCATCCAGAACACTAACAAGACTGAAAGGTGGGTTGGTGTTTGGCTCGGTTTGTGTGTGGGCAGAAGTTCTGGAAAAAACTGGTAACGGGTCATGCTCAAAACATTTGAGAACTACAGCACTACACTGATGAAAGCCTGAAAAGTTGAAACTCTGCTTTAAAGTTGGAAAATGGGGAGTCTACAGCATTGGTAGCATCAGTTTTGCTTTATGTATCCAGGGTCTGGTTCCATTACGTATTTATGAACAGTTTACTTTTGTCATAATTGTGGCTGCATTGTAGTGAAGTTAAATTAGGTCTCCTACAGTGGTGAGGTTTGTGAATAATTTGACTCCATCCCATACAAACTGAGTTCTCTTTTTGTTACAGAATGCAAAGGCAAGAGTTTCCATTGTAACTCCGACGTGTGTATTCCAAATAAGTACCTCTGTAACAGGGAAGCAGACTGCCTTGCAGGAGAGGATGAATCTCAAGCTCTCTGTGGAGGTTAAACTTTCATAGATTTATCTTCTCTGTTCCAGTCAGTTTAAACTAGAAAATAAAGAATTCCTACATTTTAAAATATGCAACTGATTGCAAAACAAAGAGAATGCACCATTCTCCAAAAAGTTTTTCAGACATTTGTAATAATGTTATGTTAATGGTTTCTGTTGCGTTACAGCCTGTTTCTCCTCTTCCTTCTAGAGGAAGAGGAAAAGCAAGACAACTAAGGGGCTGGGAAAACAGAACATGCCTTGGGGACCTTCATTGGAAGGGAATGTCATTTGCATCTGGAGTATTGTACTATTCTCCCCATTTTCTCTAGATTCTGCAAAGAGCCACTGGTTGTACCAAAGATCCATGGCCGGGGAGCGGGTAGTACTGGAAGTATTTCACCCCAGTACATGAGGAATCCAACCAAATATCAATGCAACCTGTCTATGCTACCAGCCCACTCTTCAAAATTTTTTTTTCTTTTAAGCTTGATATACTCTCTCTTGCTCTAGTTCTTACACGGTCATCTCCCTTATCTGATTACCTCCAAATATTTCCCCAGATTTTCTTCTGATGGAGGGCTATCCATGAAAAACTTTAGACAAATTTTGTTTGATTTTCTAGGAGGTGAAGGAAGAAAGGCAAAATATAGTTTATATCAGAAAGCTAATCACTGTGTTATTATTTGTACTATGGTGGTGTCTAAAGGGAATTGGGCAGTATGTTGCTCTATGCACTGTGCAAACATAAAGGAAGAGATGTCCTGAAGAGTTTACAATCTAAATTTAAGACAAGTGAGTTTGACAGACAACAAAGATGGGGGAGATAAGATGAAGGTAACAGGGAGAAGTTTATGTGTTTACACAGGGTAGCTATATGCACAACTTGATGGTTCTGAATTATTTTAAAACATTGGGGTACTGAGAAGAGTGTTTTGCCTGTGATCCAACCATCATAAACTGGCTGATTTCTAGTAAACTGTGCAGTAGAAGTGGGGCTTTAGGAAGGATTTAAGGTTGTATCCTTACAGATTCGTTGAGGGAGGATGTTAGAGGAGCAGCATGGAAGAAAGAACAAAGATGGTTGAGGAAAAGAGGACAGATGATCAGTCCTCAAAGGTATTTGGGCACCTATCTCCGTGGAAATCAATAGGAGTTAAGTGCTTGAATACTTTCAGGATCTGGGCCATAGTTATTATTTGTACTGTAGTGGTTTCCAAATTGGGCATCCCATTGTTCTATGCACTGTACAAACATATAGGAAGACTTGCCTGAAGTGTTTACAAAGTAAATTTAAGACATATTTTGTTTCAGGAACAATGTACAGCAAAGAAGTGTGTTCAAACTATGCTGTTGTTTTTGTGCTTTATTTCTAGGTGATCAAAAGCCAAAGCCAGAAGTTCCAGGTAAATATTTTGGTGTTCTGTTATTTATAGATTTATTTGTGTGTGTGCGTGCATGTGTGTGTGTGTGTTTGTATTTACAGACATTTCGGTCACTCTAATATAATAAATATTTTTCAGAGCAATGCAGTACAAGTGTGAGAGCATTTGCGTGTGTATGTCAGACGGAGAGCAAGAATTTTATATATATATTGATGTTTTTGTGTTTTATTCGCAGTGCATTCAGGTGCAAAGGTTATAATTAAAAAAGGTTAAGCTTTTCCAAGGTTGTCCAAACAATTATTGCCTGCTTTCTGCAAATTCAGCAAAGTGCAGGAGTTGAAAACTCTTTGTTGCACGAACAATGTACAGCAAAGAAGTGTGTTCAAACTATGCTGTTGTTTTTGTGTTTTATTCCTAGGTGATCAAAAGCCAAAAGTTTCAGGTAAATATTTTGGTGTTCTGTTATTTATAGATTTGTGTGTGTATGTGTATTTACAGGCATTTCAGTCACTCTACTATAATAAATATTTCTCAGTGCTATGCAGTACAAGTGTGAAGCATTTGCGTGTGTTTGTCAGACGGAGAGCAAGAATTTAATATATATTGATGTTTTTGTGTTTTATTCCCAGGTCGTTCACATTCAAATGCTAACATTCAAGGTAAACATTTTGAAGTCTTTTTTTTTGTATGCTAATTATAGACCGCCACTGTGCAAAGTTCTCCACATCAATTAGCATTTAATCGTGACCTGCAACACTACTGCTACTGTGGTACAAGACCTGCAAATGGAGGTCCGAATTATCAAAATTCCTATTTATTTCAATGGGTGTTTTTATTTGGGTAAAGCCTGAAGGTTAAGGTCCAATAGGAACATTTTATTTACTTTATTATGATCCAAATACCCCCAAAACCAGGCTAAAGGAGGCATTTAGCACAGAACTCAAATCATCATCAAACACACATAGTCTACTGAGGACTGTTATGCCAGCCAGAGTGACCACAATTGATGGCATCACACCAGGCATCGTATAATGAAGTTCCCAGATCTGGCTCAATCCCGCAAATCCAATAATCTCTGGGATGGTCCCACAGACAGCATGAGGTAAAGTCGGAGCACGCCCCCTTTTGTGTGTCAATGGAGAGTTTGAGAGCATGGTATGCTGGGGTTTTTTTTGTCCATCCTGGAGACATTGCCAAAGTGTATGCAACGCAGCTTTTCAAATATAATGAGCAATTGAAGGAAGGCCAGATCTCTATGAGATTATGGCATTTCACACAAAGACAAACCACTTTTTGCTCAGGATTTAGCACTGACAGCACATATAGATTGCCTCTAGCCACTCCAAGTCTGCCTGCATGAGAGTCTGGGCTTTTCATCTGTATAGCAATATAGGTAGTACACAAGTTTGATAGATCCGGAACTTTGTCTTAGCGCAAAGACATTTTTGCATCCATTAGCAAGACATGGACGTCACACAGGAGGCAGCAAGCCTTATTCATCGAAGAACATCCATTTTACTTTGACTGTTTGAACTCTGATTGCAGCCTCGGTAGATGAACTCGTCAATGTACACAATTTAAAATAACCTTGCCACATACTGCTCCTTTGAGTGCCACAAAGCTTCCTGAGATGGGTGTCACGGAATGATAAATTTTGAGGGAGTCAGAGTGGAGGAGGATATTACTTGAAGGAAACCAAAAAGAAAGGGAGGAAAATATCAGTATGCAATTGTTTAGATGCAGAATACCCCTCTAATCTTGATTAATTGTCTATTTAGCACGTACATATGAATTAGACCATTTGTTATTTGCATGCTACTTTTAAGCAGAGAAAGCCAAAGAGTGTCATATTATGTAGAGATTTTAAAATTTAGAGAAATATTTACAAAGAACTGGGATGAAAGAGTATTTCTAATAATGTGTGGAACAATATATTTTCATTTTTTAAAAACCTACCTTTTTAACACACACATGTTTAAGTGATAGTGTAATTTAAAATGTTTATAAACATTAAACTAATATTACATTATTTTATTACAGAACAAAAAGACATCTCAACTTCCAGTATGGATGGAGGTAAGATTGATTAAAGCTCCACTTCCTACCTGGTTGCCATGTCATGGGATGAACTTTCCCTAAATTCTCTTCTGATGGAGGATCATCCATGAGAAATTTCAGACCAGTTATGCTAGTTTTGTTTAACAGGTGGTGAAAGGGAGTCAAATTCAGTTTATATCAGAAAGCTAGATCCACAAAGGTATTTGGGCACCTGTCTTCATGGAAACCAATGGGAATTTGGTGCCTGAATGTCTTTGAGAATCTGAGCCATAGTTATTACTGGTACTATTGTGGTTCCCACAGAGGAATGGGTATCCCATTGTCCTAGGTACTGTACAAACACATAAAAAACACATCTGAAGAGTTTACAGCAGTGGTCACCAACTGGTAGATCGTGATCTCCCGATCGATCCTAGAGGATCTCCCAGTCGATTGCAGTCTCCGGCAGTGGAGCAGGGCTGCTGCTAAGGCAGGCTCCCTGCCTGCCCTGGCTCCACACCGCTCCCAGAAGTAGCCAGCACGGCCCTGGGGGCGGGCTCTCCTGCCTCTCACTGCTCCTGCCTGCAAGCACTGCCCCGTGCAGCTCCCATTGGCTAGGAATGGAGAGCTGTGGCCAATGGGAGCTGCAGGAGTGGTGCTTGCAGAGAGGGGCAGTGTGTGGAGCCACGTGCCCCCTGTTCCCCACAGGGGGGTGTTGGCCCCTTCCAGGAGCAGCATTGGGCCGGGGTAGGCAGGGAGCTTGCTTTAGCGGCAGCCACACTACACCGCCAACCGGGAGCCGCCAGAGGTAAGTGCTGCCTGGCGGGAGGTCGCACCCCAACCCCCAGCCCTGAGCCCCCTCCCAGAGCCAGCAACTCCAAACCCCCTCTTGCACCCCAAGCCCCAGCCTTGAGCCCCCTCCCAGAGCCAGCACTCCAAACCCCCTCCTGCACCCCAAGCCCCCTTCTACACCCCAAGCCCCAGCCCTGAGCTCCCTCCCAGAGCCAGCACCCCATACCCTCTCCTGCACCCCAAACCCCCTTCTACACTCCAAGCTCCAGCCCTGACCCCCCAGCCCAGAGCCTGCACCCCCTCCCGAAACTCAATCCCCTACCCCAGCCCGATGAAAGTGAGTGATAGTGAGGGCGGGGGCAGGGGAATGGAGTGAGCGGGACAGGGCACATCCTGGGTTGCCCTTAAATTCAAAAAGTGATCTTGGGCATAAAAAGGTTGGAGACCACTGGTTTACAGACACATTGTTAAGACAAGTGAGTGTGACAGACAACAAGGAAGAGGGATATAGGATGAGGGTAATGGGGAGAGGTTTATGTGGTTACACAGAGTAGCTGTATGCACAGCTTGATGGTGCCAAATTGTTTAAAGCATTGGGGTTTGGGGAAGGGCGGTTTGCCTGTGATCTGGCCATTATTAGCTAGCTGATTTCTAGTAAACTGCAATAGAAGTAGGCCTTTAGGAATGATTTAAAGGAGATGATTATGTCTTTACCGATTTGTTGAGGGAGGGTATTTCAAATGTAAGGGTCAGCACAAATAAGGTTTTAGGAGAACAGGACAGATTAGCAGTCAGAGCAGATGGTGCAATTGGGAAATGACAAATAAGAGATAAGAGAGAATAAGCGGAAAGGACAGAACCTAAGTGCTTGGATGATAAGAAACTTGAACTTGAAGGAGTAGAAAATGAGGAGCACATCCTTCTAGCTATTAATCCTACATTTATGTATTTTATTTGTGTAGAATTTGTCCAAACATTCCTATCTTTAATTGCATTTTGGATTGATAAACTGCTCTACAGTGTCTTGTCCACTGACTCATCTTTACCCGTCTTTTGCTTGGCTGTGGGTTTTGTTGTAGTGAAATAGTCTAATCAGGCCAAAGCTTCACATTCAGGTTATGCATAGCATATTCTGAAAAGACTATATTTCTTCTGAATAAAAACAAAAAGACTCTTGATTCATATAATCCGGGCATTTTTCCCAGCAGTCATATCTAATACAACCTTGGAAAATCACCAACAAAATATAGTAGCGGAGGCATAAAACATATTCACCTATCTATGAGGATGATAAAGAAATGAACAGTATTTTATTCATCCATCAAATAAATAAATTATTTGGCCAAGGCAAGTAGACTTTTCCAATGCTGTCCAAACATCTAGTTAATGACTGCTTTCTGCAAAATCAGCAAATGGTAGAGTTGGAAACTCTCTCTCCGGAACAATGTACAGCAAACCAGTGTGTTCAAACTGTACTGATGTTTTTGTGTTTTAGCCTTACATGAGCAAAAAACAAAGTCAGACATTCCAGGCAAATATTTTTATGTTCTATTATTTTATGTATATTTATAGTCATTTCAATCACTGCAGTATAATAAATATTTCCCTACTCAATGCTGTACAAGTGTGGGGAGTATTTGCATATGTGTGTCTGTGAGAGAGAGAGAGAATTTGGTGTATATTGATTTTTTGTATTTTATTCACAGAGTGTTCATATGCAAAGGTTAAAATGCAAAATTTTATTTATTTTGAAATATTTTGAAGTCTTTTTATTTTTATATATTTAACTATAGACTGTGCAAAGATCTCCATATCAACTAGCCATTTAATCTTGACCTGCAGCATTTCTGCTATTATGGTATAGGACCAACAATGAAAGCACTTTCATTTCAGCCCTTATTTAGGCAAAATCAATAATGATTTCACTAGATGTTTTGTTTGAATAAAACTTGGAGGATCATGTCCAGTAAAGGAACTTCATATGTGTCAAATTACCTCCATTAAGCAAGCTAAAGGAAGCATTTCACACACGACCGCACCATCGAAATATAAAATAACCCTGCTGCATGCCTTCCTTTGAGCTCCACAAAACTTCCTGAGATGGGTGTCAGAGAACGAAGACTTTTGGGGGCCTCATAGTGGAGGAGAACCAGATGATATTACTCAAGTGAAACAAGAAAGAAAGGGAGGAAAGTGACAGCATGTAATAGTTTAGATGCAAAATACCCCTCTAATCTTGAATAATGGGGTATATATTTATTAATTGGATCATTTGTTATTTGGGGATCACTTACGGAGAGACGGCCAAAGAGCGTCATGTTACGTAGTGATTTTGTGATATACAGCAACATCCACTAGGAACTGGGATGAAATATGTGTTGTTGTTTTTTAAGGAAAATAACATGCTACCATTATTTTGACACAAAAACATATGTTTAAGTGCTAGAGTAACTTGAAATGTTTGTAAATATTTGGGTACTAATATTTCATTATTTTACTATAGAACAACATGACTTCGTCCCAAATTCTAATATGGATGAAGGTAAGTTTCATTAAAACTCCAGCCTAGGTGGATACCATGTCACAGGGTGAACTTTCCAAAGCAATCAGGCATTTTTCAACTGAGCATTTACATTGTTTATCTAAGCCAGTGGTTTTCAAACTGTGGGTTGCGACCCAGTACTGGATCGCGGAATGTAAGGCACTGGGTCTCGGCAGTTCTGGTCAGCACTGCCAACTGGGCCGTTAAAAGCCCTGATAGTGGTGCTGCCCGGCTAAGGCAGGCTAGTCCCTACCTGAGCTGACACGGCGCTGCGCCCCAGTTCCTGGCCAATGGGAGCTGGGGGGACGGGACAGTGCCTGCAGGCAAGAGCCACGTGGAGCCGCTTGTGCGCCTCTGCCTAGGAGCCGGACTTGCTGCTGGCCGCTTCCAGGGTGCAGCACGGTCCACGGTGCCAGGACAGGCAGGAAGCCTGTCTTAGCACCCCCACTGTGCCACTGACCAGGAGCCGCCCAAGGTAAGCCTGCGCCCCAATCCCTACCCAGAGCCCCCCCCACCCTGGAGCCCCATTCTGCACCCCAAACCCCTCATTCCCAGCCCCACCCTGCAGCCCTCACCCCTGGACCCCAACCCTCTTCCCCAGCCCTGAGCCCCTCCCAAATCCCAAACCCCTCTGCCCCAGCTCCGTTGGGTCATAGGCATCAACAATTTTCTTCAACTGGGTTGCCAGAAAAAAAGTTTGAAAACCACTGATCTAAGCTATACAAGATTTTAAAAACAAAAAAGAGCAATAAGAAATTGTGGCCCTGGATTCTTTGTTACTCTTGTCCTGAACCCAGCATGCAGAGTATCTCACAGATGTCATATTTTCAACAAGAATTTAAATCAGTCTCCAGTTTCTACTGTGTTGAATTCCTACAATTGCTGAGGTAATTGTGGGCCAGATTCACTAGCAGTTAGGCACCTAGGTCCAACGTTCATTGGGATTCACAAAACCCCCATTCAGCTGCCACCTAACATTCCTAGGGCCCAAATTAGTGCGGGTGTCGGGGGGAGTTGTTGTTGTGGGTTGTTTTATTTTTTTGTTTGGTTGGTTTTTTTGCCAGTGCAGATTTGCACACAAATTGAAAAGAAAAAAAAATCACTCTTGAGTGAGTGGCGTTGTGACCTGGCACACAGGGTTGCATCATACCGCCACTCAAGTTTGGCCTGGCCTCCCCTCCATCATGACGGAAGGGAAGCTGGTCCAAATTTGAGCAGCATTGCAACTTGTGCACCAGATCACAGCCACCAATACCTCCTCCTGCAAGAACCAGCTTTGGTGTCTAACTTCAGGAGAGTGTTCACACCTGTGATTCCCAAGCACAGATTGGTGCCTCCTTGTGATCTGGATTTGGATCCCTAGCTCCCTTTGAGGGGTGGAGCTCCGGCCACACCCCTCTCCTGGAACTTCCTAATGCAGTGGTCCACAAACTGTGGGGAACGCCCCTGTAGGGGGGCAAGGACGAATGTTTAGGGGGGCTCATGGCAGGGCCTGGGTCAGTCCCCATGGGGGCGGGGAGGGAGAGCCGCCCAGCTTTGGGCCGGGCCGCAGCACCTCTCTGGGCCGCAGCTCCACTCCACCCCCAGGCCAGTTCTGTCCTCATTCCCTCTCTAGCCCCAGTTCAGCCCCCAGCTCCACCTTTAGCCCCAGCTCCTCTGCTGAGCCAACTGTGCAGTAATGGTGGGGGGAGCATGCAGACAGATTCCATTACTGGTAATCAGGGGTGCGACAGGAAAAGTTTGGGCACCACTGTCCTAATGGCTGGTGTAGGCAGCCGGAACCCCACCTCCCCCACTCAGCTTGCTGGCTTTTGTGGATTCCATTCTTGGGTGCCTAATTCTCCCTGTGCATTGTATACTAGGCACCTAACTGCAGGCTGTGAATTCCACTTGGTGGCAGGTGCCTAAGTCCCTGAATGTCCCTGAATCTTGCCCTGAATGGCCATAGAAATAAAATTATTTAAAAAAAAATCTCATTTTGATGAAAATTAATGTGTTCCTTAAATGACATGCTCTTTCCTTGTTAAAGAAAGGAAAACATTAAAGACCTTGTTGCCTCAGTTAAAGTGTGGTGTTACAAGCCACCCAGTAACTCGACAGAAGCGAATCATAGGAGGAAACACTGCTAGAAAGGTACAACAAAAGTGACCTAGTCTGATAAAAGTTGTATATGGGCATTGTTGTCTTTAGCTTTTCACCACCTTGATGTACCAATGGAAGTATTGTCTTAAAGCATAATAAATGCAGAAACCTAATCAGTGTGTAAGATTGCAATTTTGAACAGAAGGGGTAAGTCTACACTTCAAGCTGGGGGTGTGATTCCCAGCTTAAGGAGACATAGCCCTGCTATTCTGATTGAGTTAGTATACTAAAAATTAGGGCTGTTAATTAATTGCAGTTAACTCACGTGATTAACTACAAAAATTGATTGCGATTAATCGCACTTACAACAATAGAATACTAATTGAAATGTGTTAAATATTTTTGGATGTTTTTCTACATTTTCAATATTAATTTCAATTACAACATAGAATAAAAAGTGCCCGGTGCTCACTTTATATTATTTTTTATTACAAATATATGCACTGTAAAAATGATAAAAGAAATAGTATTTTTCAATTCACCTCATAAAAGTACTGAAGTGCAATCTCTTTATCATGAAAGTGTAGCTTACAAATGCAGATTTTTTTTTTGGTTACATAACTGCACTCAAAACCAAAACAGTGCAAAACTTTAGAGCCTACAAGTCCACTCAGTCCTACATCTTATTCTGCCAATTGCTAAGACAAACAAGGCTGGTTACAATTTGTAGGCGATAATGCTGCCTGCTTCTTGTTTACAATGTCACCTGAAAGTGAGAACAGACGTTGGCATGGCACTTCTGTAGTTGGTGTTTTTTGTTTGTTTGCAATTAACTAACTGCAATTAACTGCAATTAACTAACAGCCCTAATTTTTACATTGTTTTATTTTTGAGTGCAGGCTTTTTTGTACATAATTCTACATTTGTAAGTTCAACTTTCATGATAAAGAGATTGCACTACAGTACTTGTATGAGGTGAATTGAAAAAATAATTTTGTTTTGTACAGTTCAAATATCTGTAATAAAAATAAATATAAAGTGAGCACTGTACACTTTGTATTCTATGTTGTAACTGAAATTAATATATTTGAAAATGTAGTAAACATCCAAAAATATTTAAAATAAATGGTATTCTATTGTTGTTTAAGATCACGATTAATTTTTTGAATCGCTTGACAGATCTACTAAAAATAGAATGCAGCTGTACCAGCATGAGCCACTCAAGTACATTCCTATGGTCTCACACAAGCACGTACTCAGGGTGGCTAGCCCATCGCGCCACTGCAAATGCATGCTATTTTTAGCACACTAGCATGATCAGAGCTAGTGTGAGTATGTTCCTTGAGCTGGGAATCACACCCCCAGCTTGAAGTGTAGACTTACCCAAAGATGTCAGGAAAAGCAATAGTTAAGGCTTGAATAGAAAGTTTATTTCTTCAAAGGAAGTTGAGTGTGTGTCACAGGATTGGCTCCAATATGCATTCTTAACCAAGATTTTTGCATTCAATTCCCCTTTTTTTAAGATAAGAAAATAAAGATATTAGCTGTAAAACTACTAGTAGTATTTTGAACAACTGCATGTGTTTTTACTGCACCATTTTAAAGAGCTGCAAACTGTACGTTGGAGTTATGTAATGCAGCACTGCAGAGTGGGTGGTGTAGTGAAGGTACACCAGCAAAAACTGGAGCAAATAATTTAGCAAAATACTGTAGCTAGAAAGAGTATCCTGTCAAAGCAGAATTAAAACTTGAGTAAAGTGCCTAATGATACAGTCACATATTATATTTGATCATATAGGGTCAGATCCTATCACATGAACCATGCAGATTTGTTTTATAGGGTGAATTCCCTTGGCAAGTGGCAATTAGGGAGGGTAGTGGTACAGTGAACTGTGGAGGAATTTATATCGGTGGCTGTTGGATTCTGACTGCTGCACATTGTGTCAGGTAAAAACCATTCTGAAAACAATTTGCTTCTTGCAAAGTACAGAAAACATGTTATAGGCTCTTGTACTTCTCATCAGCTTTTTTGCTGACTCTCAATTGCATAGAGGAAAAAATACATTGAGTCGCACAAGTCAGCAAACCAAAAATTATTATAATGAAACACACCAAAAACCCAGGAGAGAGTCTGCACACCAATATCCGTGCTCCGCTCCTCAATTCTTAGTGTCATTGTCGGGTAGATTCAGCCCGGTCAATATCATCACATCAGACTCCCTCTAGCTCTCTCAGCCCCTCAGCATGTTCACCGATTCTACCATAAAGGATTTCCAGATGGGGTCCTTCTTAATGTCTGAAAAGCCTTTCCTGCTTTTTAATACTGTCTATCTAGGCATTTAGACAGCGAACAGCACTATGGTATCAAAATTACATAATTCTATAATTAGGGGTCTTCTTATAAAGCTGAATTCTCTTCTCCTTTTCAGGAGGAAGATGAGCCACGTGTGAGTTAGAGAAAATCTTAAGGCTATTCTGCCAGCTCCTGCATGGTTCTCATGCAAGTAGAGCAGCCTCCAGATTCTCCTAAATTTACTCTTCTTTCCCCTCTTCCAAAGGCAGACAGTGGAGAGGATTTGAGTGCTTTTTCTCTTTATGTGTTATGGAAAAGCTATGGCAAAAGGATGGATCTTGCAATTTGTCCTGAACGTGGTCTTGTTAGGTCTGCTATTCCTGAGGAAGGGAACTGCATAGTCAAGGGCCTGCAGCCCAAGTGGCTTTGTTTCCAGCTCCCTCTAGTCTTAGCCCCATAATCCCCCACTCTCCCTGGGCTACAAGTTCAATGCTGCACCTCTGAAGCGCAGCACAGATTCTCACCCCAGGAATCCAATATATGATTACTGCAGCTCAACTGCTTGAAGCAGCATTAGTACACAGCCAGTGGAGGGGAGGGAAATCAGTAGGGGAGGTATGACAGGGATTATGATCTACTGTGGGACACCTCCTCAGGCGACCTGCTCTTTTGGGAGCTGAATTTCCTATCTGTTCCACAGGGGAGTGGGGAGAATTGTGGGAGGGGAAAACAAAAGCCTGCACATACACCTGATTGAAAAAATGAACAGGAAATTCCTTGAGTCAAAACTCTCCCTTTCCTTTCCCCTACATGTGGAAAAACAACATAGAGCAAATGTGAGCTTTATTTTATCACCGTTTAATTTAACTGCAGGTTGTGGATTAGAATATCAGAGTTTGCAAGAAGGCTTTAGTGGTGCTGCATGAGTACAAAGTCTAAAATTCATCCATATATATTTTTAATCCACTTGTTCATTTAATTTGTTCAGCCAAGATACATATTTTATTTGTTTAAGATGTTATTTACTGATAAAGAAGTGTCACTGTTGATGTACATTTACACCTAGAAGATGAAAAGATAAGGAGGTCTATGCAGTTGCTTGATGTGATTGGTGGTGTTTCTTGGGTCATTGGTCTGACCCTGCTCTCACTGAAACCATATGGCAGAACTCCCATGGACTCAATGACCATAACATGTATAAATGAATGAAGACAACTTTTCTGTCTCTCCTACATTTTACATGAAATCTTAAGTTATACAATGCATAGGTGATGCAGGAAAACAGAACCTACTGCAGAAGAATTAGAGAAGGCAGGATGTTTGGGGTTGGAGTAGTAACTGAAAAAGTCCCTGTTGCCCGTGTCAAATGCAGAGCATGCATTAAAGGGCAGGTTGTAATCTTTCACTGTCCTTGTGGGGGGGAGGGGAACAGGAACTATTCCCTGTGTGTGCCCCTTGGGAGTGTACTTTTCCCCAAAGGGTGCACAGATGAATGGGAAGAAGGAAGTGATGGTCCCAACATCCTGTCCACTCTGGCCCAGGGAGTGGTCTGGGCATACCCACACCAGAGTGGGGTGAGGAGAGAGGAGTCTATACCACAGTACTTCTATGTACTGGGGCACAACCAGAGAAGTATGATCCTCCTAGTGTTCCTCTTTAGGCAGTGGTAACAATATATTTTGGCCTATTAAATTATTTTTCCATGTCAGATACATCACTATACAATAAGTGGCATCTGTCTCCACATTTGATACAGTTCAGAAAGCCCTGAGCAGAGGAGTAGTAATACTTAATATGTGTAGTATTAATTATTGTTCTACAGAAATGTTGATGAATTGCTAAATGGAATAACACTTACTGCAAGCCAGAATTTACATCTGTGCTTGTATTTATTAACAAAATATAACTGACATTTCTTTTACAGAAAAAGTCGAGTTCATCAGTATCGGATATGGACCGGAATATTAGATACAATCCTCTATAATAAAGAGATAGATACTTTTAGATTAAACCAAGTGATAATCCATGAAAACTATAATGCCTCAAACTATCTGAATGACATTGCTTTGTTGGAGATGAAAACTAATGAGAAAGGAAAACCATGCTCACTGGCATACAGCACACCTGCCTGTGTTCCTTGGTCAGAATATCTGTTTAGATCTGGACATCAATGCAAGGTTTCTGGCTGGGGACTAGCAGACGGTATTTGATTTTTAGTTTATAATGAATTATTTATATTATGGTAGTGTCCAAAGGCTCAAGACTGGATCAGAACCTCACTGTGCTAAGTACTGTACAAAATGGTAGGAAGACACAGTCCTTGTCCCAAAGAGTTTACAATCTAAATAAATTTTAAAAAGAAACAAAACAAAAACATATGGAGAGAGGTGGGGAAGGAATACAACATTCATGTAAAGTGATCAACTAAGTCATGTTAGTTAAATGTCTATTTGTCGTATATTTGTTTTATTTATAACAAAAACATAACTTTACAATTGGTCTGGAGTGAGGAAGGCACTCAAGGTTGAAGTGAAGAGGAGGATATTATTGTTGGTGTGAAGGGGGGAATTACATAAAGGGAGAGCAAAGCTGAATGGGAAAGAGGGGAAAGAGAAAGAGGGCAAAAAATATGGCTGTAAGGAGAGCCAGGCTGGGCAGCCAGGGTACTGCAGTGATGGGAGAGGGGCAGGATTAAGGGAAATAGTAAGTAAAACTCTGCATCCTGACTGATTTGCACAGATGAATGGTGTATTTTGATCACTTATTTGCCAATCTGCATGGGGTAAAGGCCTGGACGTGTGTCACAGGGAAGGAACCTGAAAAGTTCGCATCCACCTATTTTTCTTTATCACTCTTCTCTTCTTGGACCTCAGCCACACAAAGGTGCAGCCCTGTGCTCCAGTCCTCCAAGGAGTGTAAAAACACTGGACATTTTTAATGAGCTCTCCTTTTGCCAAAGAGGCGATCATTTCCCTCTCGAATTACAGCAGTGGATTAATAGCATATGGTGAATTAAAAGGCTGCATGGAAGCTACATTTACAATGGCTACAATTATATTACCCTCTTGTGACACTCCACTTAGAAAACCAATTTCCATTTTGATCGCAAGTGGCCTGTGATTAAAATGGTACAAAAGAGACTACGCTCTATCAAATGTTGTTGAGGGACAAAAAAGTATAGTTTGTCCACAAGATAGGATGTGACTCAGTCATCTGGTAGCCCTCCTTTTGTGAAAAGAAAGAAAAGAAAAAGGACAACGTAAGAGAGATCAAGAGGGAGGGGAAATAAAGATAGGAAAGATGGGCGGAGGAAAGAAAAAATAATTGAAACATTGAAAATACTGCAAGCTATCACAAGAGTTGTTTACTCTGAACAAGATCGTGAGGATTTATGATGCTGGTCCATTTAGGAAGCCAAGATGAAGAGCTAGAATGGGAAGCATGACATTTTTATCTAGAGGCCCCTAAAAGGTCAGACTGAAATTGAACAAAAGTAAGTCTTGAGTGTGGTCTGGATTTAATTCTTTAAGGATTCTGATATTCCCAGATATAGATAATGTCCTCCCTTAAATGAGATTGCCTAGATTAACATTCTCCTCCTCACAGAAAATACAAAAGGCATTCCACCACTGTTTGTCATATTGTGTAGTCTATAAATTGAAAGCACCGACAGAAAATGAGGAAACAAACTAGGGGGTCAAGAACTGGGATTAGCTAAAAATGTGTTAGAAAATGTAACTGCTGTGTGTGATTCTGTAGTTAAATAGAACTGCTTTTATCTGGCTGATGTGCTTGCACTACATACATGGAGAAAGTATGCATGCATTTAAATTATGTATTGTATATAACACAATAGGTTATATTAAGTCAGGAAAACAAGTATGAAACTTTTGATTTATGACAATGTATCTAAAATGTATTTCAAATTCAAAGGTTCTATTCTTTTCTTTTTTAGGTTTTACCAAACAATTTGTTCTTCGATGGGGCAACATTAATTTATTTCCAAACTGTTCAGATATCTATAAAGAGCGCTTTTTTAACGAAATGGAATGTGCAGGCAAGTAATTCATCACTGTTATTTCTTTCTGGTGTCCTCATCAAGCCCACCACCCTGAAAATCTGAAGTCCTACCACACAGTGCTCTCTTATAACCCTGAAGTACAGTAAACTAGATACCACAGTGAAGCTCTTAGCAAAGTGGTAAGGAGCCAAAATGCTCTTACTAGATCTGCTGTAAAGTGATGCAGACTTTTAGTACCAACTTGCATGTACAACTACACAGCCATGTTTGTAAATGCAGTTATCATGACTACATGCAATTACTGTGATTATGCATGCAAATTTCAGCAATTTTGTGAGAGATTTTATGTGCACAAGTGGGCTACTGTCAATTGAAAATCTGGCCTTTACTGTCTTTGGCCCAGATTCAGAAAGGTATTTAAGTGCATGTATAACTTAAAGCACATGAGTATTCCCATTGAATTTAATTTAACTATTTGCATGCTTAAGCACTTTGATGGGTGGAAATGACCTGATCCAACATTCTTTGTCCCCTGGAAGATGTTACCAACTTTTTAAAAGAAGAAATGATCAAACCTGGTCAGAAAGCATTAGCACTCTAGGCTACTGTTCCAAAAGCTGAAGTTTAGAGCCTTGAATTCAAAATTTTAACTTCAAGCTACTAGAAGAATTGCCACAAGCTTTCTTAAATTTAATATGTAGCCAATTAATATGACAGATGGTTCTGTCCCTCCTTTAATTCAAGTAAGAAAAGGCAATGCTTAAAAAAAAATAGTGAAAAGTCTCATTAAGATGTGAGAGAATTGAGTCTGATGCCTGCAAAGTATTGGGTCCTGTGGGACGCATGTTATCTCCTAGGTCTGCCATACTTTTCAACTGATTGTACTTTTATGTGGAAGGCAATCACCTGTTGCAGCAATGGGCAGCAGTCTAAAAGCCTAAGATATTAATCAAAGGTGAATTTTTAGAGAACTTATCGACTTCCTAGACATCAAGAAGAAAAGGGGAAGCTTTCTCTCCCCACAGCAAACACAAACCTTCAATATGGTTTTGGAACGGAGGGCTGCTACTTGTGAGAGTATGTACCCATCAGCATGAGTAAGGGTTGCATAATCAAGCACTGTGTGGCTGGCCATCACACTCCACTGTCCACATCACAAAACACACCACCACCATCAGCAACAGCTGACAGTTTTTGGGAAAATTCAGAAGAGAGGCCACATTTTGATAGGCATGGAGATGGCCTCTTATTAAGAGAACAGCTAAAGTCCTAGGTAATGCTCTAGTACTGTGGCAATGGTGCTGCATTATTGTATTTTCACATTCTTCATACTTGATCTATTTTTCAGAACCACTGAACTCACTTAAAAAGGATGTTTGGTGCTTATTTTGGTTCACTTTCTATAGATTACTTTTGAAACAATATAAAATACAATGGACTGAATTCTGCTCTGATACTCTGGTATAAAACTTCAATTACTGTCTAGTAACTGAGTGAAGGTTATGCTAGTGTAATGAGGAGAATTTGGCCATCTATGATTTTAGAAAATAAGTTCTGCAGTCTTCACAATAGGAAAAACATGCATATAACAAATTTGCCTTGGTGTTTTTCCTCTCTTTTGCCTCAGGTACCTTTGATGGTTCCATAGATTCCTGTAAAGGTGACTCAGGAGGACCCTTGGTCTGTCTGGATTCAAATAATAGGGCATACGTGTGGGGTATTGTGAGTTGGGGTGAAAACTGTGGAGTTCAAGGATATCCTGGAGTTTACACAAAAGTAGCCAGATACTTTGATTGGATTAGCCGTCATGTGGGAAGGTCCGTTATTTCTTTATATAATGTGTGAAGCTTTGGGAACTAAATACTACATTCACAGCACCTACACACAAAAAAGAAGATTAGTTCTACCTTAGAATCAGCAATCTTATTACATACTTGCAATTTTTGGAAGAAATGTTTAAACAAATCTTTGAAAATGCTGTTAGTGTTCGATAAATGTAATGATTCTTGTGGAAAGTGTTTTGTACTGAAATTAGTTCACTGCAATAAATGCATGCATACTATAAGGAAATTAAAACATCCGATTCTTTGGGGAAGGGGGATATTACATTTCATGTTTGTGCATTGGGATGGGCTGTTAAAATGGAAAATTATGCTGAAAGCAAGAAATAATCAAATGAATACACGACTGTTCAAACCTAGCAGCGAGTATAGCAACCTTAATATTGAAGAAATCCAGTCAGTCACACCAGCATGAGTATGGTTACAAACCTCAAGGAAATGCGTAAAGCCTTAAAACAGACACTCAGAATAATACGTTCCACCAGCACCAGGTACAGAGGAATGAAACACTAACGTAAACAAAGGATGCATCAGCCAAGAGGGAGAGTAAGGGTCTGATCCCACACAAAGGAAGTCAATGAGAACTTTGTCATGGACCTCAGTGGGTACAGGATCAGACACTACAGCTTGGGGCCATTAACAAAAAGGGAGCACAGAGCAGGAGTGTTCTAACTCAATTCTGGTTCCTCCTAAATTTATGATGAAGCCACTCTACAGGACTTCTTGTGCTCTACATGCATGTGATGATACAGATGGGCGTTCTCAAGCAGAACCTAGAGGATAGACCATGCTCTGCATGTTTTTAATACATATGCACTGTGGCCATAGATGCTGGAACTAGAGGTGCTGGCCGTGCTGCCGCAACCCATGGCTTGAAATGGTTTCCATTATATATAGGGTTTACAGTTTGGTTCAATGGCTCTGAGCACCCCCACTATACAAATTGGGGCAGCACCCCTGACTGTGGCCTGGCCTGAGGCAACTCCATTCCATGCTGGATATTCTTATCTCTGGCATATAATAATTTGTACAAAGAGATAAGCCTAGATCTAGGGCAAACCTGAAATCAGGCCAACAACAGTGGGCATTTGTGTTCTGGCCAAACCAAGAGAACCAGAATTTGGCTCTAGGGCTGAGGGTATGCTCTAAACATTAAATTACTAACCACTGTTGGAACTATTTCAAAGAGAACTATAGAGTCCCTAAAACAGTTTAGAATTTAATTGGAAATTAGTGAAAATGTTTGCATTACCTACTTCTAATGAGACATTACTCCTTTCACTTAATTCTCATATTATGGTAAAATGGTATAGACATTTTAGAGCGAATTCATAACCATCTGATTTAAACTGTACTTTTTATTTTCATCCCTCTTCCGCTATTTTATAGAATCACAAATGAGTGAATTTGTTTTGTGAGGTCTGACATATCGGAGTGCAATCCAGACCAGTGAGGGGCTCTGTCAACCCTGCCCTGCAACCTCTACCCTTACAATACCTTCCTGGTAGTAGCTTCCACCTGGGCTGCTCTCACAAACAGCCTTCCAGCATGCAAGTCACCATAGGTGCTGATTCAGTGGGTGCTCTGGGGCCGGAGCACCCATGGGAAAAGAATGGTGGGTGCTGAGCACCCACCGGCAGCCCCCCTACCAGAACCTCCCCCTCCTCCCAGGGTCTCCTGCCCACCAGCGGGCCCTGCCAATCAGCGCCTTCCCCTCCCTCCCACCGCCTACTGCCTGCCACGGATTAGCTGTTGCATGGCATCAGGAGGCGCTGGGGGGGAGGAATGAGGGCGCAGCATGCTTGGGCGAGGGAGGACGGGGGGGTGGAAAGAAGCAGGGCAGGGGTAGAGTGTGGGCAGGACCTAGGCACAGCTGGGGAGGAGCACCCCCAGGTAGATTAGAAACTCGGCGCTTATGCAAGTCACACTCTAAGTGTCTGTGTGTAATTGTAGTCTGACAACCACACTTGGGTTACACTGTGGCTCTCATCAGCCGTGGTTATATCGCATGGTGACACTAACATACTCCCAGTCCCAGATTTCCCCCCATAAATGTATGTCTTAGAATCATAGAACCATAGAATATCAGGGTTGGAAGGGACCTCAGGAGGTCATCTAGTCCAACCCCCTGCTCAAAGCAGGACCAATCCCCAATTAAATCATCCCAGCCAGGGCTTTGTCAAGCCTGACCTTAAAAACTTCTAAGGAAGGAGATTCTACCACCTCCCTAGGTAACGCATTCCAGTGTTTCACCACCCTCCTAGTGAAAAAGTTTTTCCTAATATCCAACCTAAACCTCCCCCACTGCAACTTGAGACCATTACTCCTTGTCCTGTCCTCTTCTACCACTGAGAATAGTCTAGAACCATCCTCTCTGGAACCACCTCTCAAGTAGTTGAAAGCAGCTATCAAATCCCCCCTCATTCTTCTCTTCTGCAGACTAAACAATCCCAGTTCCCTCAGCCTCTCCTCATAAGTCATGTGTTCCAGACCCCTAATCATTTTTGTTGCCCTTCGCTGGACTCTCTCCAATTTATCCACATCCTTCTTGTAGTGTGGGGCCCAAAACTGGACACAGTACTCCAGATTTCAGAGGAACAGCCGTGTTAGTCTGTATTCGCAAAAAAAAACCAATGTATACCTTCAGATCAGCGGCACTGCTATGGGTACCCGCATGGCCCCACAGTATGCCAACATTTTTATGGCTGATTTAGAACAACGCTTCCTCAGCTCTCGTCCCCTAAAGCCCCTACTCTACTTGCGCTATATTGATGACATCTTCATCATCTGGACCCATGGAAAAGAAGCCCTTGAGGAATTCCACCATGATTTCAACAATTTCCATCCCACCACCAACCTCAGCCTGGTCCAGTCCACACAAGAGATCCACTTCCTGGACACTACAGTGCTAATAAACAATGGCCACATAAACACCACCCTATACCGGAAACCTACTGACCGCTATTCCTACCTGCATGCCTCCAGCTTTCACCCTGACCACACCACACGATCCATCGTCTACAGCCAAGCTCTGCGATACAACCGCATTTGCTCCAACCCCTCAGACAGAGACAAACACCTACAAGATCTCTGTCAAGCTTTCTTACAACTACAATACCCACCTGCAGAAGTAAAGAAACAGATTGATAGAGCCAGAAGAGTTCCCAGAAGTTACCTACTACAGGACAGGCCTAACAAAGAAAATAACAGAACGCCACTAGCGGTCACCTTCAGCCCCCAACTAAAACCCCTCCAACGCATTATTAAGGATCTACAACCTATCCTAAAGGATGACCCAACACTCTCACAAGTCTTGGGAGACAGGCCAGTCCTTGCCTACAGACAGCCCCGCACCCTGAAGCAAATACTCACCAACAACCACATACCACACAACAGAACCACTAACCCAGGAACTTATCCTTGCAACAAAGCCCGTTGCCAATTGTGCCCACATATCTATTCAGGGGACACCATCACAGGGCCTAATAACATCAGCCACACTATCAGAGGCTCGTTCACCTGCACATCCACCAATGTGATATATGCCATCATGTGCCAGCAATGCCCCTCTGCCATGTACATTGGTCAAACTGGACAGTCTCTACGTAAAAGAATAAATGGACACAAATCAGATGTCAAGAATTATAACATTCATAAACCAGTCGGAGAACACTTCAATCTCTCTGGTCACGCAATCACAGACATGAAGGTCGCTATCTTAAAACAAAAAAAACTTCAAATCCAGACTCCAGCGAGAAACTGCTGAATTGGAATTCATTTGCAAATTGGATACTATTAATTTAGGCTTAAATAGAGACTGGGAGTGGCTAAGTCATTATGCAAGGTAGCCTGTTTCCTCTTGTTTTTTCCTACCCCCCCCCCCCCCCCCAGATGTTCTGGTTTAACTTGGATTTAAACTTGGAGAGTGGTCAGTTTAGATGAGCTATTACCAGCAGGAGAGTGAGTTTGTGTGTGTATGGGGGTGGGGGGGGATGTGAGAAAACCTGGATCTATGCAGGAAATAGCCCGACTTGATTATGTAAAGAGTTGTCACTTTGGATGGGCTAGCACCAGCAGGAGAGTGAATTTGTGTGGGGGGGTGGAGGGTGAGAAAACCTGGATTTGTGCTGGAAATGGCCCACCTGTTGATCACTTTAGATAAGCTATTACCAGCAGGACAGTGGGGTGGGAGGAGGTATTGTTTCATATTCTCTGTGTGTATACAAAGTCTGCTGCAGTTTCCACGGTATACATCTGATGAAGTGAGCTGTAGCTCACGAAAGCTCATGCTCAAATAAATTGGTTAGTCTCTCAGGTGCCACAAGTACTCCTTTTCTTTTTGCGAGTACTCCAGATGAGGCCTCACCAATGTCGAATAGAGGGGGACGATCACGTCCCCCTATCTGCTCGCTATGCCCCTACTTATACATCCCAAAATGCCATTGGCCTTCTTGGCAACAAGGGCACACTGCTGACTCATATCCAGCTTCTCGTCCACTGTCACCCCTAGGTCCTTTTCCGCAGAACTGCTGCCTAGCCATTCGGTCCTTAGTCTGTAGCGGTGCACTGGGTTCTTCCATCCTAAGTGCAGGACCCTGCACTTATCCTTATTGAACCTCATCAGATTTCTTTTGGCCCAATCCTCCAATTTGTCTAGGTCCCTCTGTATCCTATCCCTGCCCTCCAGCGTATCTACCACTCCTCCTAGTTTAGTATCATCTGCAAATTTGCTGAGAGTGCAATCCACACCATCCTCCAGATCATTTATGAAGATATCGAACAAAACCGGCCCCAGGACCGACCCCTGGGGCACTCCACTTGACACCGGCTGCCAGCTAGATATGGAGCCATTGATCACTACCCGTTGAAGTGATCACTACCCGTCTTGTACTGCCCAGCCCTCTCCTGGATAATCCAAAAATATTAAGTCCATTATTCCTTTAAGGGAACAACATACACCAGTTTACCACCTTAAATGGAGTTACCCGGACACTAATTTAAACACACTGGATTAGATAAAACAATGAAACAGGTTTATGAACTCCAAAGAGACAAATTTTAAGTGAGTACAAGCAATGAGGCATCCAAGTCAGAAATGGTTACAAGAAAATAAAGGTAAAAATGTTTAGTGCCTAGCTCCAAAGGAAAGTTTCTCACCGCATGCTTCCAACAGTATTACTGTCCAAAATTTCAGGTCAGGATCCCTCCCTTAAAGTCCAATGGCTGTTTACTTTGTCTTCTCAGGT